ATTCCACTTACTTTTGCATTCATTGGCGTCGGTGTCCGTTGCACGTCCCCATGGACGATCGAAGTAAAACGGCTTACAGCGTTCACATTCTGGTCCGGCTGTGTTGTGCTTGCAAGCGCACGTCATTGTCAACTTGACATTCACATTCGGATTGTTCTTATTGTTATTGCTATTGCTGTAGCTATGTACGAGCACTGTGGAAACAGCGCCATCGAAGTCATCGCCAGCATTGTATACATGTGGAAGGGCATCATTCGGACTCACTGTTGCCACACATTCAGATGCATGCCCGTTGCACTTGCAGCGCCCACCAACCGCAAAATCAGACACAGCATAGTGCTGCGATACGGCCAATAGCTCCTTAGCGCGGGGCTTGAATGTTGCTTTGCCATCACTGCCGATGTCGGCATTTTTGTCCACTGTTGTGGTGGCCGCTTTTGTGGTGCTTGCGACCGCAGCTGCTGCCGCTGCAGCAAGCGCGGATTTAGCTTGGTAATGCTTCTCGTAAGCGGACAATTTAGTCTTGGTATTATGGCGTTTGACCTCTGGCACGATGCTGATGCCGCTGCTGCTGCTGCTGCCATCGTTCGGATAGTCAAGATCTAAATCATCATCATCGTCCAGCTCCAAATGCTTTTTGGGCTCGGCCGCATATTCTTCATCTTCATAAGTGCTATCATTGCCTTGTACATTGTAGTCGTACTCATCATCCTCCTCCTCATCGTCTTCATCTTCCTGGCTGCTGCCCATCTCATCGCTAAAGCTATTCGCATCTGGTTTAGCCGCATCCTTTGCCTGTGCCGCAGCCAATTCACGTGGCAGTTCGAGTCGATGGAAAATAACACGTATATCTGTGGCGGTAACCCAATCTTGCAACACCAGCGATGCGTCCAAGTCATTGGCCGAGGGACGACCTTCAAGTGTGTTGAAAGCGAACCGGTTGGTTGTACCATCGCGATGTGAATCTATACAACGCGCTTCTTGCTCATTGAACTTGCTGATTTTGGCGCGATCTGGACGTCCGTAGAATTTCAAGCACTGTGAACTGTAAAATTGAAAAGGTTGCCAAGTTTGTCCGAAATCGGAGCTCTTATAAATGGCCAACGAGTCGGGACGTGGCGACTTGGGACAGAACGACAAACTCACATAGGTCAATTCATATTTCTTACCCAACGATAGGGTGAGCGTGACATTGTCTGGCGGCGCAGTGTCTAAATCAGCCGGCACAGGCACGCTAGCCGAACGCCAACACGTCACATTATTGGGATTATTCAAATCAGTTAGCGCGCTAGCGGGAAAACGCGATTCGGGCTTGGTATTGTCGCACATGTCACACTCGCTCAGCGAACCATCGCGATTGATTTCGCAGAAGCGCTCGGGCTTGTTCGCGCCACAAACGCTGGACGCCTGGACGGGATTCCCGTAGGCCGCATTCACAAAACTGGGCAGACATTTGCGTGGCTTGCCTTCGAAGTAACAGGGATCGCTGTTGGAATGCGCAGAGCTGGAGGAGGAGGAGGAGGCAGCCGCAGCTGGGTGCAGCGCATAGCCGAGCATACAAATGCAGATGTAGACAATGACTGGTATCGTTTGCACGATGTGCATGCCTCTATAGTTGGCTTTGACGGCGGTGTGCGGTGTTGTTGTCGCCAACATGGTTTCACTGGTGCGCATTATTCTATGTGTGCTGATTATTTTTTTTTGTATTTTTTTATTCTATGGCTGGTCGGTGTATACCTAGATGCGTTGCATGCAACACAACAAGGCGAATTTTCACGTATTCAAGTCACACGCGCCCGATTAACACTTGCAACACTTCCTATTAGCAATATTCTTCACTGCCGTTGGGGGCTTTGGTTGTTTTTATTTTCAGTCAGCGGTTGGCCAGCACGCAACACTGCTAGGCAAGTTGGCGAGTAGGCACTTTGCAATTGTGGCAACGGCAACAAAAACGAAACGACCAAGACAGTGGCCTGAGCACGTGCTGCATGCAACCACGGCCTCGTACATACGACCCTCCGGCTAATTTGTATTCCAGTGGAATTTTTAGTTTTAATTAAACGACAACACGAATGCACGCTAATTGCCCAATGGGGTATAGAGCGACGTACGACGTCTGCAGCTAGCGCGAACAGAAAAACAAATCCGACATAGACACAACACAATCAACACCGGAATGCACTGCGACCAAACCAATGAACGGATCGAAAAGTGGAGTAGCAATTTAACGCGCGCGCGTCACAAGAAAAATGAAAAATGTGCTGTCTGCTATACCGGCCGGAATTTCATTCACACCTCCGCGCTTGCGGCCAACCAATTTTGTAGTATAACGCAACACGGTTATGAGAACACACACGTTACTCAATTTGCATAGACGCGTCTACCCCCCGAACAAGCATAAATCCTGGCCCCGCGTACCACAGGCCAGTCCCTTTCGAGAGGATACGCTGCTATGAACGCTGCTTCTTGCAATGAAATATCGCGCTTGTGATTGACTTGACACACGTTGCTTATCAGCTGCGGCCCACGCGCGTCGCGAAGATTAACTTTTCGATACACGCCACGACACTTTGCAGAGAATACTCTTCCTTTGCACACTTAATGAGTTTGGAAATTGTCCGGCACTCAGTCAACCCAACCGCGTCATTCAAAACAACACAGCCATATGTGATGCTCACTTGCATGCACTGCGCCTTTGCCACAACGGCGTCACACTGTCTAGCGTTTCCCTAGTCTGCGGTCTTGCGCGACCAGACAGACGGCAGTGAGGCGTTGACGACTCTGAATACCAAACAAGCGGCACGAGCGCGCAACAGCTGTCCGTTGCAGTGTGTGTTTTTGTGTGCTGACAATAACTGACAGGTCAGTCAGCCTAAGCACATATACAATTACGTACAAACAAATCAAAAATGTGATTAGCCAATATTTTTCGCACAACACGCTTTCGACTTCGACTTGACAAAAGTGTTTCCCCAGACTGGGGTCGGAGCTGCCGTGCTGTTAGTGGTCCAACACGGTCAGCTGCTGACGTTCTTCTGACAACGTAAACGTGCAAACATTTGCTAATTATGTGCACGCATGGACCAGTTTGCTTGCGTTGCAGTCAGCTAGGCATCCAACTATTTCTCGGTATGTATGGTACTTGCAATCGGCACCCGAATCACTGCCCGGCACTATACATATCAACTATCACGCGAAGTGTATTCAATATATTTTAAAATTCACCACACTTCCTTGTGCAAAGCAAAATATGTAACACACTCACAAAACGGCGGTGGGTGGGTGGTTGGTTGGTTGGCGCTTTGATTATTCTGTATCCTCTTCAATTCACTTTATTCACAACACTTCACTTCCGATTCCGGTATTCGCTTCAACGCGTCGTTTCACCACTCGTTGCATGCGTATGTTGGTTCGTCTCGCTTCGTTTTCGCTTCCTACCTTACAACACTTCGTTTTACCGGCAACGTAAAATCACATTCACAATTTTACACTCTCAAACGACGGACCGTAAAACTTCCCTTTCGTTCTGTACGTGACGAGAGCTGATTTTGTACTGAGGCACGCGTCTGTTTTGTTTGCTTTCCAACAGTTAAACCATTCGTTCACTTTGCGCTCGCACGCTCACCCAAAAAAAAAAAGAAACCACCAAACAACGAGCGCTCCATGATTGAAGGTGGGAAGTGTGGTGCTTTGTATTGCTGATTGCGGTGGTTGCTACTCTCAGTTGACTTTATAAATTTGGCTAATTTATTTTTGTGTGCCTACTGTTGGCGCAGAGTGTATATTCCATGGTGCCGGTCGTGTGCTCACACTCAACGGCGGATTCTCAGCAACATCAGCATCAACATTAACAACTCACCTACCGGCCGGTTTTCATTCATTTGGAATGCTTCATGCGATAAACAGCAAGTGAGGTAGTTGAAAATTGGTTGAGAAGAAGTGGCGAGCAGCATCAGGTGTTGTTTCGCCAGGCTAATTAAATGTTTATCAACATTTGGATTGCAGCATTCGGTTCGCAACATTGTTTCTAATTGGAATTAAAAATACAAATTCCATATCAAATGTCTAAAATTAATAATAAAAACTACTTAACCATTTAATAATCTTGAGACCTTCACAATTTCTAGTTCCCACCCAAAAATATGCGCAATGGGGCATTGGGGACTTCCGGGTATGCAGTTACAGTGCTGGCATGGTGGCAAAGCCTCGACCAGAAACCTACACCATCTGCGTATGCCAGAGGAGATTGCACCCAAACTCCACCTCATTCAGGTGCAACTACCGCAACGGGTGAGTCACCTCATAAACTGTACAACTAAAAGCGACCTTGTTGTGCTGCACAGCCGAAAACTTCTTCTGCGATGCCATCCACTACCGCTAAAAGGCAGCACTCACAACAAACGGCCGGCAGGCAACACCACAACTCTCTTACACCCCACATCACAATAAGTCTCCCTAGGCACACGAAGATTTTACAATTTAACTGCAACGGACCTCAGGTCAAGATTGAGGAGATAAACGTCTTCGTGAGTCGACATGAAAATTTGATAGCTACGGTCCAAGAGACAAATCTGCACAGCAACTCAACATTTTTGAGCTGTGCCGGATACAAGGGGCACCGTCGAGATCGCGATCGAGTTAATGGTGGTGGCATAGCGTTCATCACGCACCACACCGTGCAGTATCGTCTAACGAAGCACACATCGACCGCAGACATACCATCCTCGAATATCAGGGTATTGCTATGCGGTCAGGCGATTTCGAGCTCGAAATATTTAACGTTGATATACTCGCTGTCACCAGCTGCCCTGTAGGGTATCACTTGATATAGGTGCGCTCTCAGAGGTAAAAATGGTATGGTAGTTGGTGACTTCAACGCGCAATATGCTCTTGGGCATTCAAGCCTGTCGAATGATGGTAGGGGAATACTCTTGTCTGAGCAGATAGACGATTCGACATTCTACCCAACTAACGACGACGCATCCAACAGAATCGCTGGCAGCTGCATAGCATAATTTGGCTACCTATGCTGACGTTAGCATCGGACCATCTGCTCATTGTCATCTCGATCGATAAACTCCTAACTTTAGCAAAGCTGATTGAAATGGATTCGAGGAAGTTACTGAAAGCACCTTCTCAGCCGCTCCCACACCAACATATGTTCCCGAAGGTGAGCGTAAGTTTCATAGGATGGATGCGTATCAGACACCTGTCCGAATATTCCCGCTGAAGTGACCAGCCTGGCCGAGGAGCGTGACAACCTTCGTCAGGCCGACCCCAGAAATGCCCACATTAGGGATCTCAACACGCAGATTCGGCAACTTGTGAACGTATATAAGCGGAAAAATTGGGAGTAGCATCTGAATACTGCCAACTTCACCTCTGGTTTGAGTAAATTTTGGTCATGAGTGCTAAGAACAGGAGGCGTTATTCGACAGGATTGGCGGCGGAAAATTAAATCAGACAATTAGGCGACTAACGTCTCGAAATTTCAAGAAGCTTTAAACTCAGCTTGAGAGGAGTCAGCCACTGTATATGGAGGCTGGGTTCGACTAGATTCAGAACCACTAATTTTCCTTCAAGAAAGGACTAGACGGGACGTAAATAACTCTTCGAACAAAAGCCCTGTGCACGAATTCACAGCTAAATTGAAATCGGACGGGAATGCAGGTTGTCTCCTCTCGCTCTCGATACTTAATGGAAACTAAACTGTTGATGGTTCGATAGGATTCAATGCTGCAGGCCTGAACATCACCGTAGCAGCTTTATGAACAGAACAACTGCTCCTCGCTTGTACAGCTTAGGCGAGCTTAAAGTTTAAACATTTTCGGTTCCGGAAACAGATATTAGCCGCCCGTCAAGTCCTAAAGCTGGCCTCAGCGTTTGACCTATTCATTGCTACATCTAGTCCTTGCATTCCTGATTTCAGCGTTACGCCAAAAAGTTGCTTAAGTATATAGCAAATAGAAATAAAAATAATTAATATAAACACACTGAGCTGCAACAAATAGAAACCAAAAAAAAAATTCTGTAGTCTCTGCAAATTACATATATGTACATATTTATGCATGCATTTACGTATACACATATGTTCCCAGATGAGCTGAAAAAATTAAGCTTTACGCATGAGGAAACCCCAGCAGAGGCACTGTTGAATTTTCCGCTACCAAATTTCTACAAAAGCTTTTCAAAGACGACAAGACACACAAGTAACTCAGCACAAAACAATCTAAGAAATTTTATAAATTCGTTTCGGGGGAAGCAGTGAACAAACAAAAAGCAGCATTCAATAGCACAAGCCTACCTGGCTCCTTACGAAAATGCCAAACATCGTATACATATACGAACATACATACACTGCCACCAAAAAGTATTGGCACAGCGCATTTTGCACAATATTTATATGAACAAATTTCTATTTTAATATTTTTCCGTTAACTTTTTATAAAAATATGGTTCATTCTACAAAAAGAAGCACAAAAATATAATTTTTAAATTCTGTGCAAAACTCGCGAAAATTCAATAAACTTTCATGCAAATATTCAACTTTTTAATAAGATTTTTTTCGAATTTTCTTGAGTATGTAGTTTTGTGGCCCATTAAATTTTAGTGTAAAAAATGAAAATTCCGAATTAGTCAAAAATCGCATTTATTTTTGAAAATTATTTTTTTGTTGATGGTGTTTTGCATTAGTATTTTCGAAAAATTTTGTTTGTATGGAAGAGACTGCGTGAAAAAAATTTCCAAAAGCTTAAAGAAATAACTCCTACTTTATTACAATGAAATTGATTGCGCTAGCAATCTGCATACTCAAAAAAATTCTAAAAAATCTGATAAAAAAGTTGAAAATTTCCATGAAAACTTTCTGAATTTTCGCAAGTTTCGCACAAAGTTTACAAGTTATATTTTTATGTTTTTTCTTGTGGAATGAACCATATTTTTATAAAAAATTGTCGAAAAAATATTATCTACAATAAAAATGTTTGCAGATATTGTAAAAAGCAGCTGTTACCATACTTTTTGCCGGCAGTGTATATATATTTATTTATTAATATCTGTTTTCATTTCTTTATTCCGTTGTAAAACTGTAGCTTTTTCCTTTTCTTTTTTTTTTGTTAAACTTTAAGCGGGTAGTTAATAATTTCACGCCAAACGGCAGCGGGCGATCCCTAACCAACGAACCGCAGCCACTTGCGTGGCCATTGGCAGCGAGCTTCACACCTTGGCGGTTCGCTGCAGCGCTAATCTGCGCGGCTATCTCTTGAAGAGATACGAGTACTACCAGTACAAACAAGCAATCTGTCGGACAGTTAGTAATAGCCGTGGAAGTCACCATAAGCTGGCGTATAGAATTTCATTGCTTGACCGCATTTTGCTGCCGGCTGGTGCCACAGTAAGGCCGCGCAATTGCCTTTTGATACGCTCGATTTGCTGTAAATCCAAAAAAAAGAAGGTGTGCGTGTAGGTGGTGCGTAGTCAGCGGTAAAAAATAAATTTACATTTTTCTTCGTTTTAGTCGAAATATTTTTTGTTGACTTTTCGGGGAAGCGAAGAAGAATTCACCGCTTAATATTTTGTCGTTTAAGGAAATGCCAAGTTTGAGTAATGTGCAACTAAACCACAAGCTGAGCGAACGGTTTGTGCGGGAGTGTGAGTGGGGAACGAAAAAGCAGCTATATGTAATTTGTTATGCCACTTTTAGTTCATTCGTACGTTGATATGTTTGTAGTTTAGAGCTGATTACTATGAAGAAACTGTTAAGAGGAATGACTATTGATGCGATAACAGAGATGAATAATCAAAAGTCAGAATATGTGTACATATGTAC